CTACCTCATGCCGAATGCGCTTCCTCCTGAGGCTCGTCTGTCAGCCCCCCTGCCTGCCTTAGTTACACAGCTGCTTAGTTGCGTCCACGGGGTTAGTTAGTTGCATCTGTGGGTCATCTCCTGACCCCATGGGGAGCCCCAGAAACTGGGCGGAGCACATTGACTGATAGGCAAGCCCCCCCATTGCACACCTGTGGTCCCAGATGGGAAGGGCGTTAAAACCCCTGCGTGAGAGCGGAGATGGGGGGGTCGGGCCCAGGGGGCCACATCCAATAACGCCCCTCCTTCTCTTCTGTCCACAGACGATCCAGCCTGGTCATCACCACCAAGATCTTCTGGGGAGGAAAGTAGGTGCCGCCACGGATGATGCTCCCGGCGGGGGTCGGGTCCAGCAGCCGCAGCCCCACGTCCTGCTGACGCCCCTGATTTAGGAGGCTCCGGGGTGCGGGCGTCATCCTGGAGGAGCAGAGTGTATGGGGTCTGTCCTGGACAGGCCGGAGTACAGGAGCCAGGCCCAGTGCGGTCTCCTGTCCCCTGGTGCCTGAAGCAGGGGTGTACTGTCATTTGTGCAGCTAGTACTCGTCCCTATTAAGGGACATCAAGTTGCAAAAAGCAGCTTTAGTTGAGTTTATCTTTTACTCAAACCCTGTTTAATTTTTATTTTTACTTTCATGGGGTTTTTGTTTTTGTTTTTCTGATTACAAAAGTAACATCCTAAAAATTCTGGAAAACACAGAAAATCTGTGAACTGTCCAAACCACTCCACCTCCCTTGGGCCACAGAACACCCCTGCCGGCCTCCAGGTGGCCGGCCCCACATTCTCCCTGGGACTAGACAAAACCAGCTTCATAGGAATTAGAAATATGATTCCTTCTTAAACTTAAAAAACTCCAAGCCAAGCAGAAGAGCGAATTGGAAAGCAGAGGCCTCCATGCCCACTGGGCCCGACCCTCCGGGGTGCAGCCGGGCACTCCCGGCCTGCGTGAGCGCACCCCCGCCTCGCGGTCTTATCCCGCGGTGCAGAAAGACCCCACGCGGCAACGCTGACCCGTTTTTTTTGCCTAGCATTTGCATCATAAACATTTTCCCCAAAACTGCTTGCGACTTCACACGCGCTGTGGCCTGTTTTTCAGAGCGGAGACGGAGAGGGGCCTTTCCAGGAAGCACATAATAGAAGGTGAGGGGGTTCCGGCTCCACGCGGCCCCTGAGCCCTCAGCATCCTCTCCAGGTGCCAAAGTCAGGGAAGCGCGGGGCCCCCAGCCCCAGCGGTGACGCGGCACAGGGCCCTAAGCCTGGGGACACCCACGGCTCTGGTCCGACCTTCTCCCACCCAGGCCCTCCGTGTCACGAGGGAGGGGGCAGGAGTGTGGGCGGGGCAGGGCGAGTGTCACTCTCAGATGGGCAGTGTTGTCTCGGGAAGATACGGACAGGCCAGGGTTCCCATCCGGTGCTGACTGGGTGACCATGAGCAAGGGACATCGGTCCCCAAGCCTCTGAGGCATCATCTGTAGAATCGGCGTAGTGGGGTCACTGGGAACCGGGGAGACCCAGGTGAGCGCACGGGAGATGGATCAGCCAGGGCGTCTTGCTTGTCCTATGTTTTTACCGTCTTCCTGCTTTTCCCATCCCTGTTCATTTTCATGAGGTAATCCCCTCCCTCCACCCACAAGCAGATTAGGCCTCGCCGCCCGCCCCCCGCTGCCCCCCAGCCCCACACCCCACTCTGTAGCTCTGTCCCGAATCGCTACCAGGCACCAGTCCATGACTCGTTCATTTCAGATACCATCGGCCTCGGGCGTGGTAGGCACTGTGCAGCTTTCCCAACTAACTATTCCCTGGGCCGCCGGGAGCAGAGGAGGGTCCCTCTTCATTCGGTTACAGGGCCTTTGGCCTGTGGGTCCCCTGAGTCCTCCTGAATGGGCAGAACTCCCCATAGTGGTGTGCCCCACTTCCATCTGGCTTTCTGTGACCCTGGCTGTCACTTGTCCACACGTGCTTCCCTGCTCTCTGCCAGCTCCCAGTGCCAGGGGCCTCATCCCTTTCATTTCTAGCTCGGATAAGGGCCCAGAAAAGTCTGTGAAGATAGTGATTGTCTCTCCCAACTCCTCCCCCAGGTCTGAAGGCCTCCCTGGAGCGGCTACAGCTAGAATATGTGGACGTGGTGTTTGCCAACCGCCCGGACCCCAACACCCCCATGGAAGGTAGGTTGTCTGCTAGCTGGCTGGGCCTGGTGCCATTCCCCAAGCACGGAAGCTTCTGAACCTGAGGCTCTGGTGGCCACCAGCACAGGCCCCCAGGCTGGGCCCCCAGGCCAGCAGTCAGAAGAGGGCAGGCCAGGTGCGGGGGGAGGACCAGCCTTCCCGGTGGGGAGCAGGGGTGGGCAGGCGAGGAGAGCCTGAGCTCAGCCTCTGTCGTCCCCCGCCCCAGGTGCACCCCGACACCTCCAGACCGAGGCCCCGTCCTTGCTCAGGGTCCATGCCTGATCCACACCCGATTTCAGGCCCCCTCCTGGGTTTAGAGCCCTGTGGGATGTTGTCAGTGTTAATATTTTGTAGCTAAATGAAAGTACAACGTGACGACTTGTTGCAACTGCTTCCTCCTTTTCAGTCATTCCGGGTCTTTTGCTCTGAG